GACATAGATGATTTTCCATATGGATAACAAGACTTCAAGCCCTGAAAACCTAAGAATTAACTATTTCCCAACTGCTCTGAAATTTTTCCTATTCACTACGCAAACACACAGCATTGTCACATAGACACACATTTTGTTGTCACACATACACACACGTATTCTAGTCTGGCACGTATGATCTTGGGCAAGTTAACTTCTCTGTGCATTGGTTTTCTCATATGGCCTTTGGGAAAATAGTAGTACCCATCCTATAAAATTCTTGTGAGTGTTAAATGAAATAATAAATATAGAGTTCTTATCACAGTGTCTGGTATACAGTGTCAGAAGCTTTATATGTCAAAAGTTCTGCTTTATATATCCTAAATCTCCCCTCCTACCATTTGTACTCAATAAATTATTCTTTCTGGATCTTATTTGATCTTCACAACCCTGTGACTTGTCAGTTCATATTGTCCCCCATTTTACAGTTAGAAAAGTGAATGACTTGTTCAAGGTGACTCTGCCCCCTAGGGGTTTGTAATTGGATCATTTTCCATGAAAGTCTCTGACAGGAGAACACCACCTAGTAGTGTGCAGGGTTAGGACCCAGATGATAAAGTGAACAATCTCATAGAGTTAAAATTATCTTTGAAAGATCTTTAAATCACTCATAAGATAGTATACATACTTCTGTGGATGACTTCATAGGATAATTCTTAAGGACACTAAGATTCGAGAATCATGTGGTAAATTCAGGAAGAAACTAAAAGCAAGTCTATATGCAGCTGTCTGAACATTCAGACTATTTTGCTTTTTAGAAAACCAAGGTGTTTCTGTTGTCTACAAGAGTCCCTCCATACTGATTTTTAAAGACTATTAATCCTTTTTGCCTTAATATATGTCAATGGATTTGTCTATTATGGATAGATTAACTAGTAACAGGGAGTCTTAAGAGTTAGGTTCTAATATTGGAGGCCAGGCACCGTGGCTCATGCCTGTAATCCTAGCACTGTGGGAAGCCGAGGTGGGTGGATCACTTGAAGTCAGTGATTTGAGACCAGCCTGGCCAACATGGTGAAACCCCGTCTCTACTAAAAATATAAAAATTTGCTGGGCATGGTGGTGTGCGCCTGTAATCCCGGCTACTTGGGAGGCTGAAGTAGGAGAATTGCTTGAACCTGGGAGGCAGAGATTGCTGTGAGCCAAGTACATGCCCTTGCACTCCAGCCTGGGTGACAAGAGCGAAACTCTGTCTCAAAAAAAAAAGAAAAAGAAAAAGAATTACGTTCTAAAATTGGTGCTTAAGTTAAATGTGTGCAGAATATAACTCCGACGTACACAATATTCTCTGGTTTTATGTTAGTAAGGCTTAATTTCTTTAAAATCCAGGGATTGTCATGCTTGGCTAATTATTGGTGTAACAGACAATTTTGGGGTATCTTCTAATGTATGACATCCCTTTTCTGAGCATTGACTCATGTATGCATATGAGCCCTTGGAGTTATATTCGGTATTATATGATCCATTGCCCTCTACAGTTTAGAGATAGAGGATGCACATAGGAAACATATTTGACCAGTAAAATTCTCCATTCCAGTATTTGAGAACTGGACTCCGATAATATCGGTCATTCTCTCATGATCACTTCAAGTAAGGAGAGAGAAATTTGAGAGCTAAGGCACCGTTACAGGTGCCTATTATAACCGCCTATAATATTATGTGAAAAGAAGCAGAAAAGGCTGGTTTGCTGAAAAAGAATGGGCTAAAGCAGAATGAGCAGCGGTAAGCAGAGGAGAGAGAGAGAGAGAGAGACAAGAAATGAATGAGAGAGAGAAGAAATAAGAGAACGAGGAGAGGAGAAGGAAAGAGGAGAGGAAAGAAGAGAAGAGAGGAGGAAAGGAGAAGAGAAGACAGGACAGGAGAGAAGAAAAACCTGTTGACTAAGTTACTGGTGGTGGTTAATTTGTGGCTTAAATTCCTTGTGAAGTTAAATGTACCATGTGGGTTTGGTTTCTGCGAATATCCACGTATCCTTTTAAGGTATGTGTGTGTTTCTCAAACTAAGTTAGGTTAATTCATTTTACTTTCATCCTTCATTTTATGTCCTGAGACATCACAAAAGCATCCAGCTCATAGCTATTTAGAGACAGAAATATTATAGTTATTGCAATGCTCAACTTTTGTATTTACTTGAACCTTGGTTTGTAGACTAGAAAAGGTCTTGAAAAGTCATCTTGCACATCTTACTTTTAATTAACACTGCATCTTGACCATTCCTGATAGATCTGTCCTATTTTTAGTAAAATCCCAGTAATGGAATTCTATATTGTTTTTCAGTCATTTGTTTTCAGTGTAAAACAGTCCTCATAATGAGAATACATTACTTCCTATGGAACATAAATAATTCTGAATACAATGACTCACATTTCCCAAGCCAGACCAACCAGGGGGTAAAATCTGTTCACAGAAGAGTAATAAAATGAATAAAATGGTATTTCTCCACATCTGTTCCCACAATATTAGGAATTCCAGTCTTACTCAAAACCCTACCAAATAGTTCTGGGAGTTCCCAGGAAATTTCTTTGTGTGTTCCATGGGTTAGTCCCTTCAGCTTTGAAGTTAGCATTTGCCGTTTTCTTACTTTAAAGCTCTGGCTTCCCATAGCAATGGCTGGTGTCAAGGCTGAACACTGGTTGTCACTCAACCAGAGTTGTCTCCAAAAACTGAGGCTTCAGTCTAATGAATCCTCCTCATGCTTTAAGTATCCCTCAAATATTTTAGTAAAATATCACTTTCAGCTTCTCCTTGCTCTTTTCTTTGTAGAACCTTCTTCCTAGAATTCGAGATTAGACCCCAGATTTGACTGAGAGTAGCCTGAGTGATGGAGATGGTGTTTTGAGTGATTGATAGACATGATATTTTCCTTTGAGCTACTCCTTACTATTGACATAGCTCAGTTGTCCTTGGACTTTTATCCCTTGGTCCTATGTTCAGTGACTTCTTCCCCAGAAGTGTCCTGGTCTATATACAAGTAGACTCTTGACTTCCTAGTCTGCCTCAGACAAACCCTGGTGTATCTGGGTTTTGCAGTCTACATCACTGGCTCAGTCCTGGCTCAATTAAGACTATAACTTGAGTCCTAATTATACCTACACAGTAAAAAACAATCTCACCTATGGAGTAGAACCACCTTAAAATGAAAAAGGAAAACACATACCTATATCTACAGGCCCTGTCCTTTATCAGGCTCTGTCTGGTTTTATGAAGTTGTTACTGTTTTCCACATTTGACCTATAGTTCACCAAATCTGTGAAATCACAGATTGTATTTTTGGTACATTCTTTATAGTAATGCCAAAGAGGTGAACTACTATAGGCGTAGACATTTGAGGAGGATTTCTAGTTGTCTCTGGCAAGCACCCAGTAAAGTGCCTGATGAGAGACCAACACATATTTATTGAGTTGAGCTGCATGTCCTGGCCTGAGTCACCCTCAGACCTGACTTCAGATGCTGTAAGTTATTTGAAGAGTCTTCTTAATAAGTTGATATCTGCAGTGTCTTTTCTCTTCATAAAATCACCCTAGTTCTATTTTTTCTCTAAGGTCTTGCTTGTTACCTTTAATCATTTCCATGGCTGCCCTCTGAACCAATCCCATGTTCTCTGTGTCCTTTTCTGTAACAGCTGTGGGGCACAGATATTAACAGCTGCTGCTTTCTGACCCTCAGACTGGTGCTGAGCTTATGAGACTTTTAGGAACTTAACACTGACTCAACACCGGCTCTCAGTTTCATGGCCACCCTCATTGTTTGTGTGTGTGTGTGCCTTTCCATTCCCCTTGTGAAATATCTCCTGCCCCTAACTTACTATGGGAATGTTCCTCCATGATCTCTTTCCATCCTCCCTTTCCTGTTTGCTCACTTCTTTTCTTGCTCATCTTGAGACCGTGCAATCCCAGATTAACTACAAACAGAGAAGAGCTGGTGATAGCTCCAGAGCCCAGAGAAAGGAGGTCTCTTTACAAGAGGGCTGGCTCTCAAAGGTAAGCTCGCTCTTCTTAACCTACCTTTTGCCATCTACCTCCCTCTTTGGATCTCCTGCTCCTGGGTCCCTGCTTGCCCTGCATTCTCCATACTCACAGAGAATCAGGACCTCCAGAACAGCCCAGCGTGGGCTTGGTCAGGAATGATCCAGGCTCTGAAGGGTTAAGGCTGGAGCCTGGATGGATGGAGAGGGTTATTAGTTATCGTTTGGAGAGTGGAGTGAAGGCTCCTCCCCTGTTGCCTACCCGCCCCTTTCACATGATCTCTGACCATGGCTGTGGAAGCGGGCGGAAGATAAAGGGGGGAAAAGAAAGTTCACAAAATAATTTAGAAAGTCCTTATAAATGCTTGTGTTTTCATTTAGCAGCATGAATCCAGGACAGCAACAGAACCTCAGAGGCAGCAGCCAACTGGGAATTGAGTGGAAAAAAATAGGAATCCTGGATTCAGGCACTTTCCAGTTTTTTTTTTTTGGTGGGGGAAGCAGTGGTGGGAAGCGATTAAATCAAATCTTTCAGGGGAGAGCTCAGCTCTAGGCTTTCATGGTCAAAATACTAAAGGTCAGCTCCGCGTGTGTGTCCCAACTGTCCCAGAAGCTTCAACTCGAAGAAACCCCAAACTTGAAGTTGTGCTTATAGCTTCAGCTTAAGTAAGAAAAATGAGTTGTGGGGTAGGTGGCGGGGGGGATCACAGGATGGGGATCAAGTCTTAAATGGAGGGGAAGGAAGAGGAGATGGATATGGGTGGGAATAAGGCAGAAGGGAGCTGTGTCTTTAAGTCTGTCCTATGGTTATACGTGTTTTTTCTTCTATGAATGGGTTTTGCTGTAAATTATAGCTTTGCCCATAGTCCCTTGGGTCAAAAGAAATAGTCTCTAAACAGAAAACAGCTCTGATTGGTGACTTTCCTTCTTCCCTCCCCAACCCCCTTCCTAATTGAAACCAAATGTGCAATATATTGGATGCTGGGATCCCTGGCGCTTTCCCAGGAATCCTCAGAATGTGAGGTTTCTCTCAAAGGCATCTTGCATCAGCCTGTGGATGTATGCCTACCACCAGGCTCCTTCACCAGCAAAGTGGAAAAAGAAGCGTTTCACAACAAATTCTTCTTTCTGGGTTGGGGAAACGCAGTGGATTATAGCTCTGTTTTCTTCTTTCCAAAACTGTGCACCCCTGGATGAAAGTAAGTTATGTGGGTCTTTTTTCTTTATTATTTTTTCTTGTTTGAAAATGAAAGCTCCGCATATACTTCTTTTGGTGTTTCAGAAAAAGTTTTAAAAAGGAAACAGAAGGGCGTTTTTCAGTCAGACAAGGAAGGGAACGGAATGAGGCACCACAGACTTGAGAAATCAGATCCCATGTTTTTGGGGGGTCTGGATTTATGCTATGAAGGGAAGAATAAAGATCACTAATAACCAAAGAAGGCCGAAGCAAAATAAATGAATCCATAGCAGCTGCAGGATACAATAAACAGCATTAGCAGAGCTGAAATTGTTGGCAGGCAAGACAGGCCGATTGCAGAGTTAGTTTCAGGATGAAGAAGGCAGAGCAAGAGAGCTAAGTTTTTAGACATTTAGTAGTGGTGTTAGAAGGTCCTGAGTTTTGGAGATAATGTAGACCAAGCACTTTTTGTTTTTCAGAGGAGTTGCTGATTTACTTGTGAGAAGGGTAACTTTGGATGAGGGGTGGCTTCCCCCTGAGATTTGGGGTGGCTAGGGGGAGGTTGGGTGCATGGAGGATTTTTCAGTTGTGACGATGAAATACAGCTTCCCAGACTCATCTCCTCGCTGGCTCTTGGTGTCTTTCCCTTTGTTATGGAATGACTTGGGGCTGTTTTCATTTGGGACCTCTGAGTCCTGGCCTAGGTTCAAGAGTCCGATCCAAAGGGAAAGAGAACTGTTTCCAGTGGCTGAAACTCTCAGACCAGCCATTTGAGGCAAGAGTTCGTACTGTTCAAGCCAGTAGGGGGTTCAGCACCATTTTGCCGATTGTTGGCTTCCTACAACCCAGAGTTAAGAGTCCTGAAAAGGGCCTCAGGACTCTCATCTGACCCTCTCACTCCACAGATGTAAAAAATGATAGGAAGGGGACCAACCTGTTGGAGTCCCACAGTACATCTGTAGCGGAGCTGAAAATGAAATTGAGATTCTCTCCCCTGCTAGTCCAGTGTTCTTTCCACTCCATACCTCTGCTTTCATTTACTTTTTAAGGCTTATTCTGCCTGAGACAATAGAGGCAGTATGATGAGCAAGTCACCACGAGGACATTAATTATCAGTAATAGAGAGGATGCCAATGGCGGCTCATCAGCTAATGATGTCTATGGTTATATTTGTGTGTGTGTGTGTGTAAAATAAAAAGAAGCTAACTTCTTAGTATTTTCTATGCAGCAGACTCAAAATAATACATAATTCATGCTCAGTGCTTTTCATACATAATTTGAGTTCTCACAGCTATGTAAGGCATTATTTCTATCTTACATGTAAGGACATTAATGCTTAGAGAAGTGAAATGAGTTGCTCAAGGAAATGTAGCTAATACATTTGAAACTCATGTCTATCCAACTCTAAAATCTGTGCTTGGAATCACCATTCAATGATACTCTCCTCATCTCCCTTGCATTTGGTTCCTTTTGAGGTCAAATTCCATATTTCACCGGGTGATCAGGAGGTGAAGGTGTCAAGCTACGGGAGCAGTATGGATTCTCTCTCAGAGGCCACTCCTGCACTTGGCTGAACATTTGTCGGGATATCAGATGTGAGTTGATTTCTGGGTCTTTGGTATATACTTACCTTCATTATGCAAAGAGTCTGGGACTTAGAGTCAGAAGATTCAGGATAAGTTCTGGCTGTACCTGTTACTACTTAGCAAAGTTGCTTTGCCTTTCCGCACCTTGACTTCTGTATTTATTATACGGGAACAATGGCAGTACCTTTCAGTGTTATTGCTGTAAGAGGTATTTGATGTGCGTGCATGCTGAAGGCTATCAAGGGCTTACCGGTATCAGCTCTTGTAATTAGGATCAGTAAACACCAGAACGTCTTGTGAGGCAGACCCTGTGGTGCTGGGTCTGGCAGTCGGTGCTGACGCTGGCGGGAGGGCAGATGGATTTGGATGTGTGTGAAACTCTGAAATGGGTGGCCTCAGCCTTAGTGCCCATCTCCTTTGAATGGAAGCAGGCCCTCCTCCCTCCCAGGGGAATACTCCTGAGGGCTCTGTCTTAACTTCTCTTCTGCTGGCCTGGTTTGCTGTGATTCCTCACCCAAAGCAGCGCAGGCTGAAGGACACTGTGCTTGGTGAAGCACCCCTGTCTCTGAAAAGGAAGGGTTTACTCAGGACCAGTCCCCTGATTGCTCCTCAGACGAGACTCACATTTGAGGAGCTTCGTATCTAGCTGAGGGCAGATCCTTGACCCAGGACCTTCTTGTCACTGGCAGGCACATCTCCCTTCATCTTTTCTCTGGCATTTGCTATTCTGTGCCTGCAGTCAGAAGGGAGGCCACTGCTCCTGGGGTAGGGGTGGAGAGCCAGTCTGCAGTGGGGAGGCCCCAGCCTCCGTTTCAGGGTAAGATCCATTTGCTTTAGAAACTTTAAATGTAAGGGAAGTGGGGAAGGTGTTTCCGGAATGCCTTTCACTTAGATTCCTCAACACTCTCCATGTCCAAGCACAGAACCTTATCACCTGCTTATTCTCCCCTAGCCACTCTGTGAACTCCCTCTTTTCTTCCCTTCCTGTATAATCGCTCCCCAGTCTTGAAGTCATATGAATTCTCGATCACACACAGTGAATTTACTTCAAACCTTTCCATGTATTTTCATTTTTAATAGACACATGAAAAAATTAGAGTGGCCACCCTCCATACATTCGTGTCACACCATTTTCAATTCGCATGAGCGCTCAGATATCCTTCCTAAGCTCCTTTAAAAGATCTGCTTTCAGGCACTTCACATCACCCTCACCTCAAACACACAATCCAAACACACATCTCGCAGGCATCCAGAAAGCAAACACACGTCTAAAACCGGACCTCCACAGACATGCTAACATTCTCGTGCCAGCTCACATAAATGGTGACCTGTCCGCAACACAGACACACTGGACTCTTTATACTTCTTGCCCCGTTTGAAACTGTGTAACATATGAATTGATCAACTCTGTCCCAACAATGACTACTCAGTCCAGAAATGTGTCCAGCATCCCCAGGCATCCCAGAGCTTCTCTGAATGCAGCAACCATCCATAGTGAGGACTGCTCACCAGGAAATTAGAAACCTCTGGTAGACTTTAAAAGATTTTCAGACCAATCAAATCAGAATATCTGAGGTTGGAGATTGGGAATCAGTACTGTGAACTGCTCCCCAGGTGATTCTGATGTGAAACAGAGTTAAGTACCTCTGCAGATAAATCTCTAACTGTGTTGTCTTTGGCAATTCAATTTTATTCCATTTGATTTAATTCTATTCGTCAAATAACATAGTTTAGTAAAGGAGCTGAGATGTCCAGATACCTGTCAAGGATGTTTATTGGAACATCAATCACCTAGTGGCTAAAGTGATGGTGTCTGTAAACTTTTTCTATCTTTTAATTATATTTGTATACATTTAAATATGTTATTATTAATCCTGCATTATTCACATATGATTTGGCTAAAAATAATTCTCTTCTTTTCTAATTGTTTTGCATAGAAATATTTGATGTTTCCTAATGCTATAAACCCCAGCATTTGGCAAATTATGTATTTATTACTAGCTGGAATCTTACTTTGGCTTTGAAATGCTGAACAAGGTCAGTTTTGAGCCAGCCCAAGAGTCGCTAAGGCCTGGAAGGGCAATGCAAAGGTAGAGGAGTTCTAAACATGGGTTCGGACTTACTACAGAGCTCCTGAGTTTAGCTGGGCTTCTCTTGGAAACTGGATATTGTCTGTAATGGATCCACTCATTAACTCATCTGTGACTTATATTTTGTGCCTAAAGGAACCCCCAAAAAATCTGTGAGGGGCCCTTTGGATCTATAGCTCCGAGGTTAGTGCTGGCTGGTGCTCTGTAGTATGAGTGAGAGGGAGAGGGCATGTAATAAATAGAACTTCAGATGCGTCATGTAGTGAAAAGAACAGGTAGTGCGGCTATGGTCCCACCCCCATCATTTTCTAGGGTTTCGATCTCAGAGGAGTTTTTTTAACTTCACTGGTCTTCAATTTCCTCATGAATTTTATCCTCTTCATTTGAGTTTACATAAGGTAATGTATAGGAAACTGGAAAGCCCTGTACCTGTGAGGATAATAGGTGTGGATGCCCTTTGGGACATATTTCATAGGTAGCTAAACCCGCAAAGTTTGCTGTAATGCAAGATAATCCTTAGGGCCTTAATGGCTTAGGTAGCCAAAATAAATTGAGATGGGAGATGGATTAAAAATGAGGGCAAACAATCTAGCATTTTTGCATTTTTTCCTTTTAAAATTTGAATGCTCTTATGAATCCAAAAACATGAAACAGTACAAATCTCAGTGAACTCTCATGTCTAAGATAGTTTTCACTGAGTTTATTTTTCTCTTAAATAGCGGTGATTTAAAAAAAAAATCACAGGTATATTTTTTATCTATTAAAAATGTCATAGCATCCTGGTAAACTCTGTCATAATTTTGTTTTTGCTGTATTGATTTATTTACTCCTCAGTAAATAGTGATTGCCTGCCTATTCTCTGTTGGACACTGTTCTATATTTTGTGATGAACAAACCCCACGAAGTTATGAGCATTTATAAGCATTCATTGCTTTAGGTTCTAGGGAGTATATTATGAATTTGACTGTACAAAACTTGATTTAGAAAATTGGTATCCAACCTGGATTAATAAAATTTAGCTTTTAAAGTTTGCTGAACTATAATTCAAAAACAATACAGAAATAGTTATTAGATGGTGATTGTCAGTGGAGCCAGGTGTTATGCCATAATAAATAGGATCCTAAATTTTATATGTTTTATAATTTTTAAAAGTTATAGAGCAACTTTAGCTTTATAGAAAAACTGAGAACAAAATGCAGAGTTCTCATGAATTCCTTCTACCCTTTGCACAATTTCCCTACTACTACAACCTTGTATTAGTATTATGTTTTATTTGCTATTAATTACTCAATATGTATTTATTAAATATGACAAAATAATAAATAAATTTATTATTTATGCCCTATTTGTTATTATGAAAATAATAAGTCATATTGCTGCCTCTCAAGCTGTTTATAATGTTATGTAGCTCGAGTTTGAGGTTTCTCATTTATTAGAAAAAGATTTTTCCGTGCACTTAGTGCATGCCTTATTCAGTGCTAGGGCTTAACACAATATCTGGACATAGTAGATATTTAATAAAACATCTACTGAATATATAAACAAGTGAAATGAAGGATCCAGAAGTAAAAGACATAATTCTTGTCCTTAAGAACTTAGGAAACAACAGACACATACAGCAGTGACTAGAGAAAATTTCAGAAACACATAAAATATGATTAAATCTCTGATAAAGGAGACACTGGTATAGGCAAATGAGGCATAAAGCCATTACTAAGAGTCCCATCCTCGTTTTCCTTGTTTTTGGGACTGTACTTTGTTTTTTTTTTTTTTTTGTTTTTTGTTTTTTTTGAGATGGAGTCTCGCTCTGTCACCCAGGCTGGAGTGCAATGGTGTAATCTTGGCTCACCGCAACCTCTGCCTCCTGGGTTCAAGTGATTCTCCTGCCTCAGCCTCCCGAGTAGCTGGGATTACAGGCGCCCGCCACCACGCCCAGCAAATGTTTGTATTTTTAGTCGAGACGGGGTTTCACCATGTTGGCCAGGCTGGTCTTGAACTCCTGACCTCAGGTGATCCACCTGCCTCGGCCTCCCAAAGTGTTGGGATTACAGGCAGGAGCCACTGCGCTTGGCCTGGGACTGTACTTCTTATCACCATTGTCTTTGTTGCCATAGTCTTCATTATTATCATAATTATGGCTATCGTTCTATGTCTAAATCCAAGCATTAAAGAACAAACTCCCATATCCCCATGGTAAGGTTGGAGAAGTGGGTGCAAGTGCATCTATGTGTGTTTTTGGCAATTTTAAAGTACAGTCACACCAATATATGCCACTTCTGTTTCTTGCTGGAAGTAAAATGAGTGACTACTTGGGCTTTGTAAAAGAAAATCGCACTTCGGAAGTCCTCATGGGAGCCATACCAAAATGCCTTGCAGTACTGTAACTTCTCAGAGGCATGTAAAAGTTAGAGGATTGGTGAAGTTTTCAAAGGCTACTGGCACTTGTCCTTCAGGATGAACCCTCTTGAGATGCAGGGGAACAAATCGACCTCAATAAGAGAGTAGGGAGAGCTAAATTCACTCAAGAATAGCAATCTGTTCCTCAGACAGATGCAGTTGTAATTTTAGAATGTGTACATAACAGAGAGTTTAAAATGGACATAATAATGCTAAAATAGTATCAATGGAAATTAAAAATAAGTCCTAATCCCAACCAAAATTCTAGCAAGTTGTTTTGTGGATATCAACAAACTGATTCTTTTTTTTTTTTCTTTTTCTATTTTTGAGATGGAGTCTTGCTCTGTCGCCCAGAGTGGAGTGCAGTGGCGCAATCTCTGCTCACTGCAACCTCCACCTCCCGGGTTCAAGTGATTATCCTGTCTCAGCCTCTTGAGTAGCTGGGATTACAGACGTGCACTACCATGACTGGCCTCAACAAACTGATTCTAAAATTTATATAGAGAGGTTAAAAGATCAGAT